TTCTTCCAGAGACCCTCAGATCTGTCCCTCTCCTGCCCAGGCCTCCACAGGCACTCTTGACGTGAATGATGTAGAGCTGGCCACGCCCACCCAGTAGGCCGCACCCACCCTGACCACACCCACCTGGCCCCCTGAGGGCAACTGCAATGCTGATGCGGCCCTCAATGAAATTGAGTTTGACACCCCTACCTTATAGAGATATGGATAAATAAACATCTCCCCATAGTCTATATCTATGGACATCAAGAGATTGCAACTGAAGTAAATATACTGTCAAAGACCAACCAAACAGTCAGTCAGGGTCTGATGATTCCTCAATTCTAAACACAAAGGATTTAGACTTGAAAACAAACAAACATTCTATTTCCACAGTTATTACTCCTAGGAGCAATAAAATAAAATATTGTATAAATAAAAACTGCTCAAAAACATGATAAACTCCATGTCAGATTTGATAAATATCTGAAATGATCTCTGGATGACCCCTTATCCAGCAGCAAAATCTTTAAGTTGTCTGGCAACTTCAACAAGACTTTTTCCTATTTCAACATCACAGTTATTCCCAAAAGAGCAACATTCTAGGAAAGTATTAGAAATATCAAGTAGTAGAATCAGCTATCCATGCCTACTCAGAGTGTTGGGACAGATCTTTGTTTTTCTACAGGGAGATACCAGCAGTGCATCATAGGCAGTTGCCCATGGATTCAAATAGTGATGTCAACCCAGATTTGGACTGGGAGCTGTTCCACTGATAAGGCCTGTCTACCTGGCATTATGATTTGATTCTAACAAGCTGATGCTCCAAGTCAGTTTTGGTCACATTTTGTTTGATAGCCCAGGTACTCATAATGGGTTAATCTCATATTCACCACTCAGAATTACAAACTGAAATAAAGCATAAGACCAGCTGCTGTGCCTTATACAAGACCCTTAATTTTTTATCCATTAATCTTACTTCTCTTCTCTGTAGAAAACCGGGACCTGAGTCTCCCGGCTTGGTTTCAGACCTCGTCCGGGGGCTGATTCATGAGTTGTCATATGAAGACACCAGACCAGGTTTCCTCGGGATGAGATCAGCCCAGAATAGTCTCTGGGGACCTCCTTTATTAGCAATCATCAAAGCAAATTGCAGGCAGAAGCGACAAGCAGGGGGGTGAGCCG